ACTACTACTACTTCTACTACTACTACTACTACTACTACTACTACTACTACGGCGACGACGGCGAATACTACTACTAGTACTACTACTACTACTACTACTACTACTACTACTACTACGGCGACGACGACGACTACTTCTACTTACTACTACCGCTACTGCTACTATTGTTATTACTGCTGCTACTTTTCCAAATCGCTAATGATTCGATAAGGCAACCGAGAATACAAGTAGCAATGGGAAGATGCATCAAGGCGAAAGGGCTCCAAGCGCTTGGACAATGCGCACCTCGGCCTCTTTTGGAAACTTTTCGGTTTTGGGGAGTTCAATGGGTCGGAGTCTGGAGTTTTGGGGCTTCTGGTTCAGGGACTTCGATCTAGTCTGAAGTGTAAGGTTCCGGAGCTTGCTCAAACAATCCAAATATTCATGTGATGGACATGTAGGGTTCCGTAGTTTATGTTTGTCAGACTACAACCGAGCCGTGAACCCTTAGTTTTCCGGTGTGTTTCTGGTCGTGGGCCAGGGTGATGGTTTTCGGTTTGTGGATTTGTGGTTTTAGGGCTATGAACTCTGGGGTTTGGGTTTGGGGCATTTGAGCTACATGGGAGATGCAGAAAAGATGGGAACCTAATAGAGACCCTGGTGACTGGGACTCAGGTCCATTTAGATGGCCGCAACACGGACTCTCTAGTTTGCTATGGACATTTCGGAATCTCAGGATATCGCCACGGGATGACGATCTCAACAACATTGAAAAACAGACTTTAGTCTTCACTCCCACACCCAAAACCCTAGACCTGTCTGCGAGGGTTGAGTTCGTGATCACCCGCATCATGGGCCACTGGCCCTTGCACATCGTCGTGCTGCTGCTCTTCTCCCCTGTGCCCCTTTGGCTTAAGGCCTCCGCAGATCCTTAACTTGTTGTGGGCGAGGGTCTGCTGGGGTGTGAGGGGGTCAAGGAGCTCACAATTCCGGGTTTTTTTGAATCCCCACACAGGATCCTCATGTTGATAAGGCTACAGAGAGGGGAGGGAGGGTGTACCGGGTACTTTGGCTGGGGGGGCTTGGGTGACTGTAACCGCAGGCCTTGTAACGAGGCCTACACAACAAAACCCATACTTCTTTGTCCTAAACCCTAAACCCTAAACCCTAAACCAATATTGCAACCTGGTCTGGGAGCCTGGCGGTTCGAGGAAGTGTTGCTTGGCTTGATGGCTCTGGTCATATTTCTGCTTTCAGCCTGGTATGAGAATCCCCTAAGACTGATGCGGCCCAGAGTGCGAAAGCCCGGCGCCCTTAGCTCGAAAGGCTCTGAGGCCTGAACTTCAACCGGTGACCCCTCCAACTTTGAGCTTGGAATCCGGAGCCCTGAGCCTTTTGTTTTCTGAGCCGCAGGATTGGAGGCGGTTGGGGTTCCGTTTGAAGGTGTGCAGATTTTGGAATATGTTTTTCGACTGGGGCTCAATGTATCCACAGAGGCCAATACCACGTAATTAGGGAATACACTTTGAATCATATCGGCCCCCCAGCCACACAGACAGCACCCCCGAAAAGCTGTAGCAGACCTCTCCTAAGACACAAAAGCACACCCTAGGCTCACAAAGCCTTGCCTGCCCGGTGGGGTCGAACACATTGCCGGAGACCCCTGCCGGACATCCACAGCTGAGGTTCTTGTTCGTGGACATCTCCTATAGTGTCTGGGAATGACGATAGCACTTGGGTTCTAGGGGCCTGAGGGCATGATTCTTAAGGGTTTGCATCATGGATCGCCTGAAGCTGCTGCCAAGTCATCGAACATGCTACGAAACACATACGATGCTGGCGTTTGTGTTCTCTTTGGTCAGCCTTTCGGTACAGTCACACGGTTATGCAATGCAGAGGCAGTGCAAAGGTTCTTTTGTTGTGGTCGATGGCATATTTCTTGGTGGGATGAGGTTGGAACTTTGTCTGTCAATGATTCGCCTTCTTGCCCCAGGAGGGTGTAACGTCTGTTTGTAGGGGGGTTTGGATGGGTTCGGCTTTAAGTTGCGTATCACTTCGACTTCCCAATTGTGCACCTTTGGCTGTAATGAAGTAGTAGTAATACCCCCCGGAGTACAGTCCGTATATAATTACACCGTAACAACCCCCGCAGACCTGTTGAAATTATCGCACCCTTTTCAAGCCATGAGTCCTCAGCCCCGTTGACCGTGTCCTCAATGCCCAAACGATCGAACCCCAGGCCGTATGCTGAGCCCTGCACCAGAATACGACCCCTCCCTGAAGTCTCCCCGGCCTTCTTTTCGCACGAGATGACCCTTTGGAGGAGTCCCGGTCTCGACCTTTGCTTACTGAGCTTACTGGCTTCTCCAACTACGGGAGTTCGAAGTCTTTGAGGAGGGAGGGTGAGGGCACAGTGAATCCTAAATATCAGGGTGCATGAAAACCCATAAAGCCAAGGCGGCGTAGCAACGGCAGCCTGGAATGGATTCATTTCCATCTTCATGCTCCAGGCTTGCTGCGCCTGCAATCTGGGTTCATATCTTCAGCAGCAGTTTCAGCAGCAGCAAGAGAAGGAGGAGCAGGAGCAGGAGGAGGATGAGTAATATCAGTATCAATATTGAACAATCTCAGCGTCATATTCGTGTGAACGCCACTGTTCAGTTCCCTGACGCCCTAAATAACCCCTGGCGGATGAACAAAAACAGAAGGTCCGAGACCCCCCTGACATGGGCCCCCCGCTGTTGCCCAAAGGAACCTGAACCCTGCTACCCCTTCTGGCCCCTCGATAGTTCCTTAAGGTCCGAGACGGGTTCGAAGTCCTAAACCCTAAACCCAAAACCCCAAAACCTCCAAAACCCTAAAGTTCTAAGCCCTAAACCCTAAAACCCTAAACCCCAAACCCTACAACCTGTCTGGTTGCGGGCAAAGAGCTCGGGCTTTGGGGCCTCGAGCTTGCAGCTCCAAAGCTTTTTACCGTCCAAGCCCTGAATCCTAAAGGACGTCTCAAAGGACCTCTTAGAGGAGCCCTAAAAGAATTCTTAGAGATGCCTTCAAGGGGTGTTAAGGTCTATCAGGGCATCAGTGCGGCCGGTCAACCGGGCTTCCACAAGGGCTGAAGATGTTTGATAGGTTGTTTCTTGTTCATGAGTTTAGAAGCTTGGGGTGGTAGCCCAAAGTAAATGCTCGGTGTTGTTGTTATGGAGACGGACGAGCATCGTCTCTTTCACGTTTCAGGTGCAAAACAATGTATGTTCCTTGCTTGTGCCGACGGCTCCATTTTCTTATTTTTTTTGTCGGTTCCCCAAACCGCGAACTGTACCAGGATCCGGACTTGCCCGACCCTCATCTAAACATACCAGTAGAGTTCTTGTAGGGACCCCTCCACCACCGAGCCTCTGACGACAGGCCTGGTTCCCCACCTCGGCTGAGGCGCCGTTGGAAACTGTGGGCATGATCGGGATTCAGAGCCCGAAAGAGCGCAGACAGGTAGGTAAGTAGGTAGATAGGTAGGTAGGTAGGTCGGTTGGTAGGAAGGTGGTAGGTCGGCAGGTAGGTAGGAAGGTGTGTCGGTCGGCAGGTAGGTAGGTAGGTAGGTAGGTAGGTAGGTAGGTAGGTAGGTAGGTAGGTAGGTAGGTGGGTAGGTAGGAAGGTAGGTAGGTAGGTAGGTGGGTAGGTAGGAAGGTAGGTAGGTAGGTAGGTAGGGGGGTAGGAAGGGAGCATAGCCGCAGGAATAACGGCAACACGAATCGCCATGAAATATCAAGGTCTGCCATGGTCTAGAATCATGATGAGGGCATACTGCCGAGATGCCTTCCGGGGCCATAAACTGCATTCCTGATCCACGAATCCCGACTCGTAAGTCTTCAACGCTGGACCCTGATAGCCGCAACACTGAGCCTGTAGTGCCGAGAAGCTTCTGAATTCATTTGACCTTTCTTCCGCCAGGTTTGGAACGCTCCCACTTGGTTCCTCTCGGCTCTCTCGTTTTCCCTATGCGCTCTCCCCTACGGCCTTCGCATCCTCGCCGGGTGAGCGTGGCTGCACCCCTTCCCTTGAACCCTGGGCCTGAACCTTAAGCCACACCCCGCAACCCCTGGGAGTTTTGGACCCCGAACTTTGACCTTAAAGTCCTGAGCCCTAACCCTTCGTGTCCAAGCATTCCGTGATGTCCCATTCCCCGAGGTCCCCAAAAGCCGGAGCCCCAAAACCCACGAAACTTAGTCCATAAACCTGTGACCTGCAAACCCAGAAGTTAGGGCTTTCTGGTTTCTCTGAGAGGGTTCCGGGTTCCGAAGCCCGAAGCTCCTAAATCCGGTGGACCCCAGAACTGGGGGCTTAGGGTTTCGGCGTTGAGGGGCTTGGGCAGCGCTTGCTTTTTGGGCATCCGGGGGCGTGTTCTGAAGCCTCCGGCGATAGAGCTGCTGGGTTTTAAACTATAGCGCCTGTGGTTTAAGGTCCGGGGTTGTTGGTAAAGATTTTCGAGATGAGGGGTCGGTAAACGCGCTTTGATTTCTGGTCCTAACCTCAGGCCCTGCATAGTCGTCGTCGTCGTCGTCGTCG